GTTTGAGTTCTGCATCAGCAAGAACACATACCTGATCCAAGCTGAGTCAGAGGAATGGCATAAAAAAAAACATATTAGTTGAGCTTGCAACTGGAGACAGAGTTGTTAATTTTTATCTTAATATTTTAAATATACAATAAGTGAAAGACTGGTGATAAAAAGAAACTGGATGAATTGATGCCGCCTTCCTTAGATAAGGAATTAGGATGTTTAACCTCGTCCTACTTAGGACACAGAAATTCCATCTGCTTTCAGTTTTCTTGGGAATATGTGATATAGTCATCTGAAATCTTGGCATAAACATGGGGTAAACTAAATGTTAGATCAAAACCCCAATTACCTTTTTTTTCCATTTTAATGGTCCATTGTTCATAGGGTTGAGTTCCAAAATCTGGCATTGGGTTCATTTGGCAAAAAGTTTGAATCTTTGTCATTATTTCCAGAAGTCTGTCTTTAAATGGATCCTAAAAGTAAGTTATACACTTATTCTTAGATGTTTATATTGTTAAAGGAATAACATTATCTTTGTGAAAATAATTCCCATCTATATATATAAAAGCACCAGGGGACAGACACTCAATGAAAAAGCTGCCCCCTGGTGGTCAGTGCACTCCCACAGCCAATCTCTAGTGCAGCAGTTCTCAACCTGTGGGTCGCGACCCCTTTGGGGGTCGAATGACCCTTTCACAGGGGTTGCCTAAGACTATCAGAAAACACATATATAATTACATATTGTTTTTGTGATTAATCACTATGCTTTAATTATGTTCAATTTGTAACAATGAAAATACATCCTGCATATCAGATATTTATATTACGATTCATAACAGTAGCAAAATTACAGTTATGAAGTAGCAAAGAAAATAATTTTATGGTTGGGGATCACCACAACATGAGGAACTGTATTAAAGGGTCATGGCATTAGGAAGGTTGAGAACCACTGCTCTAGTGGTTGGCCAGCAGCATCAACATCCATTCATTCTGCGGCTGGCCCGGTGACCATTGCTTCCTCTCCTGACCCCGCTGGGGCCTTTGGCCCAGAGCTGGGATGGGGAACCAGGGGTGGGTGGCTCCTTCCCCAGGGGGGCTGAGGGCCAGCTCCCTCCTTGGGGCGGGCAGCCAACCTCCCGTGCTTTGTCCCTCCCCGGCAGCAGGCCCCATTGGGCCCACAGTCCCTCCCCCAACTCTCCCCCAGGCCGGCAGGCCCCGATTGCCAGCCAGGCATGCTGTGTCCCTCCCCCCGGCTGGCAGACCCCGATCTACCCACCACCTTCCCAAGGGAGTGGTGGCGTGATGGCAAGGGAGGGAGAAGGGGGGAGGCAGGGAACTGCACAGTGATGGGGCGCCTGCGTCGGCGTCCAACATCCATTCCTTCTGCACCCGGCCTGGTGACCATCGCCTCCTCTCCTGACCAAGGGGGGGGCCAATGGTAGGCTCCCTCCTCAGGGCTGGTGGCCAACCTCCCGTGCTTCGTCCCTCCCCGGCAGCAGGCCCCATTGGGCCCCCATCTCTCCCCCAGGCCGGCAGGCCCCGATTGCCAGCCAGGCCTATGGACCCCACATGTGCACGAATTCGTGCACCAGGCCTCTAGTGTTGTAATAAATTTGATTCAGATTCTTTGTCTAGGCAAAGTAGTAAGTTAATCTCTGATCACCTCTTTGTACATTTATTTTTTATTGGTTTTTCTTTTAAGAGTCTCTATCTGAAGACACATCCATACCAACACCCTGTACCACTTCTGGAATTTCCCATTTAAAAATTTTATTAAAAAGCCCTAGCTGGTTTTGCTCAGTGGATAGAGCACTGGCCTGCAGACTGAAGGGTCCTTGGTTCAGTTCCAGTCAAGAGCACACTGGGTTGTGTCAATCCCCATTGTTGGGCGTGCAGGAGGCAGCCAATCAATGATTCTCTCTCATCATTGATGTCTTTATCTCTCCCTCTCCTCTCCTCTCTGAAATCAATATTTTTAAAATTTTACTAAAGAAAAATTAATGAGTGATAATATTGGATGCTAATACTAATTTTAAAAAACATTATAGTAATGCCACAATTAGTTTGAAAGCCTACAATCCAATTTAAGAGACATGTCTCTTGGAAGAACTGGTTTCAGCATGTATACCAGAATTAAAAGTGAAGAGAATTTTAGAAAAAGCTAGACACAGAAAATTGCTTACTGTATGATTTCATTCATATAAAGTTCAAAATCAGTCAAAATCCATCCTTGGTGTTAAAAGTCAGGGTATAGTGACTGGAGGGGGGGAATGACGAGTTTCTGGGGTGCTGGCAATATTCTGTCTTGATCTGGATTTGGGTTACACAAGTGTGTTCTGTTTATGAAGATTCAGCGGTCTATATTAGACACTTAAAATTTGTACTTTCTTATGTGTGTTATATTTCAATAAAAAGTATACTAAAAATTAAAAGTTAGGTGGCAGATTTTTAAATATATATATATATTTAGAATATATG